AAAATCCAAGGACTAAAGACTGAACAGGAAATGTAATTGAAAAGGTAGATACTGTTTTAGTTTGGTGCTGTGCATCATGTTGAGAGAACATTCCCAGCACACTGTGAGCAGAGGGTGAATGTGCCACCAGAGCCAATCATTCAAATGCTAATTCGCCTACTTCTTAGTGGATGACTTTGGCAAGTATCTATTCACCTCAGACTTTTTCTAAAAATGCATGGAAAGATAGTAATTGCTTTAAAGAGTCATTCTGAGGAGTGACTGAATAGTGCATGTAAAATAATTCAGTCTGATGCCTAGTACATCATCAGTGTTACCTAGACGTTAGCTGCAGTCTTTCATGGCCTTGTGAACGGAAGACTGCTAATGGCTGAGAGGAGGAGTCTGAAGTGCCCCACGCCCTTCTGAATGAGTCAGCTCTTACAGAGGGCTCCATTTTATGGAGACTGAGTTTCCAGAGAGTTCTTTACTCACAGCAGCCCTATAGGACAGAACCGGGCTGCCATCTGTAAGGGAGCCTGTCGCCAGGCCTTTTCTCCCTCTGGGTTGCTAATGGGTTCAAACTGCTGACGACTTAGCAGCCAGGCACTTAACCATTATGCCAGTAGGACTCCTTTTTTCTGAGCATAACTGCTAAATTACACTTCCAAGTAATATTTTTAAAGCAAATGTAAATGAATTTAGGTTGCTCTTGAGCTTCAGTTATCTGTACGTGTGTCTTTTTGGCTGAGGAAAATGATCAGGTTGACTGGAGTCAAAATTCAGTGTTAAAGAGCCACATTTGATCAGAGAGAGTTTAGGAAATGGCAAAAGTATAACTGATCTCTGTACACAGATACATGCACACATATATATGTACTCTAGGAAATTTGATTTTGCTTTTGAATTCTCTTTTAAGATTGTTGTTATTTTATTACCATAGTGATAGATTGGGCAAGTTACCTTTATCACCTAAGCAAAAAACTACATTTTCCAAATGGGTACGACCAGAAGACCTCACCAACAATCCTACAATGATATACACTGTGTCCAGTTTTAGCATCAAGCAGGTAAACCTTTATTTTACTTCATTTTCTATGAAAGCACAAGTTTTAAAATAACAAAGATTTGAAAATTTTCCCAAGGTACAATATATTCAGATACATTAGTATAGTTGGAAAGGTTTTTCATTCTGCATGTTTTGACTTACACACGCGGTGGGGGTGGTTAGTTGCCATCGGGTTGGTGCTGACTCAGAGTGCAGAGCAGAACTGCTCTGTGGGATTTGCAAAGCTCTGAGCTTTCAGAAGCAGCTCTCTGGCCTGCCCTCTGAGGCACCCCTGAGGTGTCCAAACTGCCAATCTCAGCGATTAGTTGAGTGCTTAATGTTTGTTAACACGTTTGTTAACCCATTCCTGGGTGCACGAATACTGAGCTAATAAGCATACTGAGATAATGTAAGTATGATCGCTATACAGACAGAACTGTGTGAACCAAGTATAGAGTTTTGTATACACTGTCTATCAATATGTGCTTGCAAATGAGAAAATCTGAACTTCCTTTGAAAAAAAGTATAAAAGATGATACTAGGTTTATTTTTTTCCCTTTTGAACGGACTTTAATTAATTGAGGACGCAGTGAGAAAGGCAGGTTACATGGTTCAGTGTTGATGATACTAGGTTTATATAAAACATTTTAGTGGCTGAACAGCCTTATGGCTTTGTTGCACTTCACTTAAGCTCTGCATTAAAGTCACAACTGTCCTCCACATTAATATAGAAAGACTTGTCCTAAAATGTTACGATTGTAGAATCTTTTGATGTTTAGGTGGGTTTTTTTAAATCATTTTATTGGGGGCTTGTACAGTGCTTATCACAATCCATACATACATCCATTGTG